CTCTCTCTCTCTCTCTCTCTCTCTCTCTCTCTCTCGTCAAAAAACATTTGGCATAATTTACTTTCAATAGGAATTACTATCATTTTCTTATTAATATACCATTAAATATAAGAAATAAACAAATAAAACTTTAAATTATGTAAATAATTATTATTATAAGGTACAAAGCGTACATAATAAAATTATTACCACATACAATCTACCGGTACATTAATGCCAATGTTTACCATTAATAGAAATATTAAATTGAAAAATTAATATTAAAACCGCATTAATTTTATGGGAATTAAGTACATTGACTTAACTGAATGCTCATAATGTTTTATTATTTGTATTAATTAGCATATCATAATCATTAAAACTTATTATTTCTCAATTAATACATAAAATATATTAATTTATAATTTAATTAAATTCTAATTATTAGTATAATATTATTATCTTTATTAATAAGTTTGTTATTATAATATAAATTATTTAATTTATTTCTAGCTGTCAATGAGTTTATACCAGAAGTCCAATTGGCAGTCATTGAACACATTGATCGCTGCCCTCCAGTGCCACAAAATATACCGCATGTCCGCCGAATGGCAGCAAATCAGGCAAAATCACCGACATTACTACGAGTAAATTTCCATAAACCACCTTGCTCAAAAAACTATAAAAACTAACCCACATATTATCTCTTACAATAGCGAATACATCAAACTCGCGGCTATTGTGCGTACGTGCGAGACATCGCTAATGTATACAATACCGACGGGCATACCGGCGCTGCGCAACCTATTGACCAATCAGAAGTTGCATTGTTTGTCCCGTTGGGACCGCATGGAGTGGCCCGCCCGGTGGACCCAACAGCCCGGCATCGCTGATTGGTTGGAACGTGAGCTCTGCTACACAATTAACACACGCCATAATAATGACGTACATAATGGTCACCAAATACAACAGCAACATAATGGGTCACTTGATAATGACGAGGCCTCGGGTACGCCGCATAAACAGCTGATCTGTTTGATACCTGTGAGCAAAATGCCCGATAATTGGCTAAATAGGTCCGTACGGAATGTGCCCCTGGAGTACAGGCCTAGGATTGTGGAGTGTTTGGCCCAGAGTCTCAAAAATGAGCTCAATTTTTAGAGTTGTTTGATTAAAATTTAATGGTTTTTTAATTTATGACTAATGAATGAGTTTTCATTTTTTTTGTTTGCTTTTAATTAGTGTTTTTAATGTTTAATATCCGCACAAATTGTTTTTGAAATTATTTTTTATTTTGTGGTTTATTTTTAATTCCGGACAATCTTTCTCTACCCGGACCTTATTATAATGTACCTAAACTGTATTTTTAGTACACTATACAGTACTACTAGTGGAACGTCAGGTTGAAGGTCAGGCAGGTTTAGGTGACATATACATAGAGATTATCAATTATCCCATAATTTTTCATATGTTTTATTAACAATATATTGTTTTTTGAAGGCAATTATTTTCGTCACGGATTTATTTTTTGTTTTAAATAGATTTTTAAAATAATTAATAATTTTAGTTATAATTTGTTTTATGTTTTAGGGTATGAATTAAAGTACTGTTTTAATCATGTGATAAATTGTAAATAATTACAAACATAACAAATTAATGTTTTAAATTGTTTTAATATTAAAATTTTAGAATTCAATTCAAAATAACCAAAGAATTAATCATAAAATTAAATTACATTTTCAATTAAATGGATTAAAAATTACAAAATAAGTGTTTTAATTATAAATTAATTTTGTTAACAAATTATGTTAATTAATTATATTGTTGTTTAGCTATTGGTTTGCATAACACATATAGTGTACACAACAAGACATTAATTAATATCAAACAATATCCTGAAAAATATTAATGTTTTAAAACATAAAACATATTATTATGTGATTTATGAGCAGAAAATACAACAATAATTAATTATAAACTGATAATAATATAATCTATGTTTTAAACAAACCCGGTCTTTTGTTAACAAATAAAAAGTGTAATTTGTGTAATTAAATATTAAACTAATTGTAATACAAAACACTATGGCATTTAGATTAGTAATAATTTTTTAAATATAATTATAAGGTTTACAAATGGATTAAAACTGGATTTAAATGATGTGATTATAAAATAAATAATAAAATTATATTTCTTAAAATTGTTTTTTTATTTGAATAAGCTAAAATAAATAAAGCCTATTTTATTTAGTGTATGGCTGAGCATGTTGACCATGTTGATATTCATAATATATTATAAGATAACATTAATAAATTACATATAAATAGCATATTGCAAAGTAATTACTGAGAATTTGACACTTTTTTAGTTGAATATAACTTTTTGATAACTATGTAGAACTTTATATAAAAATATAATAATAATTAGATAATACCTACACTCAGTATCCAAACTAACATTGTTAAATTTTATTCTTAAATCACTTAAAAAATTTTATATTAAATAATTACAGTTTTTATTGTCAACAAAGGTAATATTATTTTAAACTATTGAATTGATGTATGCTGATGGTTAAATTATAGATGCGTTTTTAAATAACAAATCTAATTAATGTATAACATGAATAATTATTATTAAACATTTTTATTAAACATTTAGTAAAATTTCAGCAATTAAATTATTTCACAAATTAAAAAATATATTTAATCTTAAACCTTTTAAAATTAAACGAATTAATTAATTAAATTTTATAAACTTTATTAAACCTAGTTAGTTGTAACTATTAGATAAATATTGGTATTTTAATAATTCAATTATATGTAACTACAAATAAATAAATAAAATAACGATAATAATTTTAAAAAAATATAATTAAAGTATAAGTATAACTTTAAATAAAAATATAACTATTTACAACAAGTCAAAAAGCACACGGTTAGTCAATTTAAGATTATTAGAAATTATTAGAAATATAAACAATGTCGCTGAATATCCCAAATTATAAAACACAAAACAATATATAAATATTTTATAAAGATTTGAATAAATCATTTATAGTTTATAACAATTAATTAATCTGGAATTATTTATTACTAAAACAATAAGCAAGCTACTTATAAATATGAGGCTAAAGTTTATAATAATTAATTAGGAGTATATTTGATAAATTATTTTAAAAGCTTATTTTAACGATAACAATTATAGCTACATATTATATTTAAAACTATTCATAATGATCTAAATTAATGATCATAATTAACAAAGCATTCTTCAAATATAATCAAATCTTATTATTAAATTCAAAAGTTTATTAAATATATACATAATTGATTATCTATGAAAATCAATCAACATAGAATTATTTGTAAATAATATAATGATATTTAAAAATTAATTAAAATAACATAATTATAAATTATAATTATAAGACATCTCTCTCTCTCTCTCTCTCTCTCTCTCTCTCTCTCTGCAATAATGTAAAATATTATAAACTGTACTGGGTAAATATTGCTATTATAATAATATGCAAATGTTTTATATAAAACAATTTATGGTCAGTCGAGCTGTCATCATTTGTAATATTTTAGCTAATATGGATTTAATATGGATGATTAAAATAAAATAATAAAATTGTATTTTTAACCACAATTCAGTATGAATAATGTGGTTAATAGGATCGTTCTGCCCTGATCAGTCTATGGCATAGAGATGACATGGGTAATGCTAATCCTCTGGACAATGCTAAATGCTAATCAAATCTTTAAGCACTACCCGAATTGTGGTTAACGTATAGCATCGCTGTGTTAGCCAGAAAAAAATTCAGTAATG